ACATACCTGGGAATTGGGGTTATGAAATGTCTGTTTCCATAAGAATTAAGCACAAAGGTTATGAGAGGACATGAAAATTCTAGCTTTATTTTCATTTCCCCTAAGATTCTGACATTACTTTAGGGCAGTGGTTCTCAGCCTTCCTAATGCTGTGACCCTTTAATACAGTTCCTCATGTTGTGGTGATGCCCAACCATAAAATTATTTTGTTGCTACTTCATAGCTGTAATTTTGTTATTATAAATTACAATGGAAATATCTGATATTTCTGATGGTCTCATGGGACCCCTGTGAAAGGGTCATTCAACCCCCTAAGAGATAAGAACTCACAGGTTGAAAACTGTTGCTTTAGGGTGAGGAGAGGCATTTTATCAAGGGACACATGTAATTTTGATGCAAATAACCAATGGCTGGAGAAGTTGCTCAGTCATTAGGAGAACACATTGCTATTGTAAAGAACCAAAGTTCAGTTCCCAGCACCCACATCAGGTGACTCACAACCCAACTACCTGTAATTCCAACTCCAGGGGATCCAATGCCATGTTTTTGACTTCTGAATTCACATACACTTGGCTACTTGGCTAAATATAGACACACACATGCACAAAAATAAAAATAAAAATTTTTAAGGAAACAAAGAGAATTCTATCAAAATACAGAAAACCCATCTAATTCTTGACCTCAAAACATGTCTAATTTTAAAATCCTCTGTTCCTTGTTTTCTCTTGGAGTGAGCCAAGATGATGTGAAGTTTCCTGGGTCATTATAAAAAGACAGAAAAAAGAAAAATCATCTCACACACACACACACACACACACACACACACACTTTTAAATGTTTTATTAATTTAATTTTATTTCATTTATTTAAATTAAAAATAATTCAGTGTTTTAATGTAATATATACTAATATTGACTGCAGCAGAAAATATGAAAAGTTGTCTACATCTTTGCTATTTGAAGTGAGGCTCCTGGACCAGAAATATCACCCTCATGTGGCAGAACTTAATAGACAAACAGAAGAATTCATTTGAACCCTTCTCTCTTATATTAAAAAAAAACTAAGGTGTATTGATGAGCTAAATATAAGACTCAAAATTATAAAACTAAAAACTACTAGAGAAAAATCAGGGAACATGGGGATAGTTCCATGATAGACTCTCTAAGCAGTGATCTCTTTATGGGAGGGTGGGTATTATGACTGAAAATGTGAGTAGCAAATGCAAAATGGACAGTAGAATTACATCAAATTAAAGCCACTGCATAGCAAAGGAATAAAGGAAACAGAGAAAGGACACAACATGCACATCACAGGGTTTGCAGCTGGGTGATATTGATGGTTACTTTTCTTTTCTGGTAGCATGCAGAGTACCTTCCAGCATCATGAGTGATAGGCAGTAGGGGTGAAGGTTCTAGCTGGGCACCAGCTCAATTTCTCCATATTTGATGATATAAGTGAATTCTGTCTTCAGAAACAGGGCCTTACTATCAGGTTGCAGAGAATAACCAGCAGCCTTGGCAACAGCCTAGGATTGAGGGGGTTGATAACAAACTCCTTTGGTCAGTGATTTTATATGATAGAACCCACTCCTGGCACTTTAGGTTTTATTTGGTAGCATAAGATGTCAAATTGAAACACTGTCTCAACCATTATTTGGTGACTCCTTTTAAATTCTTCATATATTCTCTGTGTTCCCCAAGACCCAGTCCCACAGTCTCATCCCAGAACTGCACCAGAACACCAGCTGCATCCCCCTCCACTGCTCACATCTCCTCTGGACCACACAGACCATCTCCTCCTAACCTCTCTCCCCCAACTCATCGCTGTATCCTAGCTGCCAACTTGAGCAGGCACACCTTCTAAACCACAGGCTGAATCTGCCCAAAAACCAAGTAGGCTTCCTGCAGATGTCTTGTCTCTCTGTTCCCCCCGAACCAACCCTACAGTCTCATCCCTAGCACTGCACCAGAACACTAGATGCAGCCTTCTCTCTCCCCTGCCTTCATTTCCTGTGGACCCCACAGACCATCTCCTCCCAACCTCTCTCCTCCCACTCATCACTATATCCCAGCTTCCAACTCCAGTAGGCTTGCCATGATAACCCAAGGGCTGCCCCTCTCAGGGCAACAAGTAGGCTGAAGGCAGACCCACACCTCTCCTACTGCTCCTGAGATCCAATTCCCCAGTCTCATCTCAAGCTCTGAAGCTGCTGTGGTCCCTTTCCTCTCTGACTTGATCCTCAGTAAATCACAAAGACCTTCTCATCCAACTTTCCTTTCCCAACTCATCACAATTACCAGGTTCCAATGCAACCAGGTACTCTCTGTAAACACACCATCAGAACAAGCCAGAAAAACAGACAACATACATCCATCATACTCTCTGAAAATCCAGAGAGGAAACAGAAACCAAGGAACAAAACATCTATCTACCCAACAAAGATAAATCCAAAAATCAGACTTTAATCATCACAAACCCAAATGTCACACAATTGTAAAAATACCATTATTTAGTAGAGTAGAGATTTTTAAAGTGTGTTCTTATGATTCTCTGCACTGCCTCAATATCTGTTATTATGTCCCCCTTTTTGTTTATAATTTTACTAATTTGGATGTTCTCTCTCCATCTTTTAGTTAGTTTAGATAAGGGTTTGTCTACCTTGTTGGTTTTCTCAAAGAACCAACTCTTTGTTTTGTTGATTCTTTTTGTATTGTTTTCTTTGTTTCTATTTAACTGATTTTAGCCCTGGGTTTGATTATTTTTTGCATCTACTCCTATTAGGTGTGATTACTTGTGATTGGTTTAATAAAAAACTAAAGGCAGGATTTTCAAGATAGAGAGAATGCTGGGTCTAAGAAGGGCAGAATAACCAGTCAGATGCAGAGGAAGTAGGTCATGTAGGAGATGAGGTAACAAGCCATGAGCCACATGGTAGGACATAAATGAATAGAAATGGGTTAGTTTAAGTTCTAAGAGCTAGTTAGAAACAAGCCTAAGCTATCAGCTGAGCTTTCATAATTAATAATTTCTCTGTGTTGTGATTGTGGAGCTGGCTGGTGGGTCAGAAAAGTCCAACTACACAGTTGGAATTGAGAGGATCATTTGAATGGTTGGGTGGAAACCTAGTGCAATGGAAATTTCCTTCAATCTATTAAGGTGATCTTCATAAGAACTCTTAATAATGGGCAATATGATGTCTCAACTAGCCACCTTTTAGCCAGGCAATGCATCCAGTAGCAGGACTGGGTTACATTCAATTGAATTGTTGGCCAAGGAGATCCCATGGAAATCTCTAAATAACCCATGCTATTGTTAAGACAAAAGACTTCTCTCCAAAACTGACAGTGGGGCCCCATTGCCAAGAACAACATCCACACAACTAATTAAACATAGAAAATTGAGCTGGTGCCTACATGGAGCCTTCACCCCTCTATCCTAGTCTCTTTAGTGTGGGAAGGTACTTTGCAGGCTACTGAAAGACATGCATGGACACCAACCCAACCACAAAACTTTGGACCTACAATCTGTGCTGCCTACAGAATATGCTAGGACAATAGTGGCACAGAATTAGTGGGAGTAGCCAACCAATATCTGATTTGATCTAAGGACTACTCCATGAGAAGGAACTCATATCTGACACTACTTGAGTGACCAAGAACCAGAGACTAGATAGACCAGAGAACTGGGATAAAACAAAACACTACTGATCTAAAAATAAATGAATAAATAATTAATATGGCTCCTAATAGTATTATGCTATAGTCATAGACCTGTGCCTTATCCTGTCATCATCAAAGAGACTTCTGGCAGCACATGGGAACAGATTCAAAGACCCACAGCCAGACATTATACAGAGAATCTAAATGAGAAATCTCCATCAAGTCCTCCCCTCTGAGCTCAGAGAATCCTGCCAAAGGGTAGGCAGAAAGATTCTAAGAACCAGAGGAAATAGAGGAAACCAGAAAATGGACCTCTGGATCAACTAAACAAGTACATATGAGCTCACAAAGATTGAAATACCAAGCATGTGGCCTACAGTATTCTGAAACAAGATTTCTACATATATATTATAGATATTAGCTTAGTATTTTTATGGGATTCCTCACTGTGATAACAAATGAGTCTCTGATTATTATGCCTGTGTTTGGGACTTTTCCTCCTGTTGATTTGCCATGTCCAACTTCAATATGGTAGGTTTTTTTATCTTATAATATATCTTATTCTTGCCATGTTTAGTTATTATCTCTTAGAAGCCTTTTCTTCTCTAATGAAAAATAGAAAGAGAGTAGATCTTCAGGGGAAGGGAAGTAGAGAGGAATAGAAGGAGTAGAGGAAGGGGAAACTATAATCCAGATATATTGTATGATAAAAGAATCTTTCCTCAATAAAAAAAACCTTTATATATATAAAAGCTCCTATAGTAGTAAGTTTCCATATGAGTTTTCAAAAGGCTTTTAGTGTTAGTTGTCCCTCCCCATATTCCCTCCTTTATTCAGTTCCTCATCCCCTTCCCCAGTAAATCCTTCTATTCTACCTTCCCTTTTATCTCTTTATAAAACTATGTTCTATTTCCTTTCTTGGAAGATTGCATCCTCCTGACTAGTCCCTTATTAACTGCCTAATCTCTGTGACTATTCAGATTGAAACACATATCTAAAGCTTGAAATTTAACATCCACATATAGGAGAAAACACATGATGATTGTGCTTTGGATCTGAGTTACTTTGCTCATGATGATGATTTCTAATTCCATCCACTTAGCTGCAAATTCCATATTTCTTGACAGATGAATAATGTTATATTGTATAAATTTGTCATGTTTTCATTATCTATTTTTCAGTTGATGAACATCTAGGCTGTTTCCCATTTCTGGCTATTATGAATAGCACAACAATGACCATGGATAAGCAAGTATCTTTGTAGTAAGATACAGAGTCCTTTGAGTATATGCCCATGAATGATTAACTGGATCTTCAGGTAAATTGATTTTCAGCTTAAAGAATAGGAGAAAATATCTGAAAACCTCTTATCTTGTTAGCGATGCTATCCCAAATATCAAGAACTCAGCTCAGTAGCAATGAAACAACCTAATCCTAAAAGGAGCAAAACCCTGAGTAGACATTTTCAAAAGGAATGTAAATATTCCAAAGGTATATAAAAATAGATAATCATTACTTATAAGAGAAATGCAAACTAAAACAGTATTGAGAGTATCTCTTATAAAAACAGAATAGATAACCAGTACTGTAAATTATGTAGAGAATACAAAGAACATTTTAGCACAATTAGGAAATGTAAATGTCTATATACATTATATGCAAGTATGAAGATTCCTGAACAAGTTCAAAGTAGAATCATTGTAATGCATAGCAACCTTTTGAATAAGTTTATGCTCAAATTACATAAAACCAATGACTCAGGTAGATAATAGCACTTCCATATTCATTGTAGCATTATTCTTAGTTATCCAAGGTACATAATCATTGTAAGTGTTCATCAAATAATGAACCTTTTAAAAGTATGTGCTATTACATGCAATGAATTATATCATTCAATCTTAAACAGAATGAAATCTGCCATTTGTAACAATATTTTAAACCTAGAAGACAACATGTTAACTAAAATTAACAATGCATAAAATAACAAATAGCACAGGATCTCACTTATAAGCAGAATCTAAATATATTTGAACTCATAAGAGTAGATGGTAGAATTTTATCTTTTACCTTTTATTGAAAATATTCTTTTCTCATACAATATCCTGATTATTGTTTTTCCTCTCTCTATTACTTCCAGTTCCTCTCCTTCTCTTCCCCCCTCTGTATCCACTCTCTTTCTGTCTCTTATTAGAAAAGAACAGGCTTCTAAGGGGTAGTTAAACATGACAAAATAAAATATAATAAGATGATGCAAAAACTATCATATTGAAGTTATCATGTTTAAGCAGAAGAAGGGAAGATTAAAGAGATGTTGGCCAATAAATACAAACCTTTAGTGAGATAGGAAGAATGAGTTCAAGATCTTATCTCTACAATATAGTATCTACAGTTCTTAGTACTGTACAGTATTTTGAAAATCATTGGAAGTACATTTAAATTGCTTTATGATTAAAATGTGTGTAAGATAATGTATTTGCTAATTTTCACATGAACCATTCACAGTTTGTATTTATTTTAGAACATCAATAAACACATGCATTTGTATCAACAAGAAATAAAAAGAACCTGTCTGTTCACAAGTTCTTGGTCCTGATAGTGATGTAATGTATGAGTTTCATCATGTGGAGCAGACCATAAATCAATCAGGGAATAATTACAGAAGAGAGAATAGAAATACTGTAAGAAACAGAGACAGTGGACTACAATAAAAGTGTTTTTCCAGACACAACAGAGAAGTTGCACATATGAATTCACTGCAGTTGGAACAGCAGCATGTACAAGATATCCAAAATATCAAACCAGACAAATTCCATCATGAAAAGGGAAGGTGAACATAAGGTTGCATCCCTAGCTGAAGAATTAGTGCCAAATGAGAACCACTGAGAGTCAGTTTTCCTTAAGGGTGTGACTCCTATAGGTAAACCATATTCCAGTGGATTCCCACACACTCAAGGATATATGGACATCTTCAGAAGCACTGGTGTTTGGCAACTACTGGTCCAAAAGATACCAAGTTAGATATCTATCCCTTTCTTTTACCTGTTTTTCAGGCCATTGAAAGCTTTGTAGAGTTCAATGTCATTCCATTCTATGGTAGTGATCTCATTGTTCCGCATCCCAGCAAAGGCATAGATCAGGTGAGTACACAGGCAAGGGTCAATGTCATCAGGTGTGAATCGCCCCAGGCCTGGCCGATACTGGGCCCAGTTGGTGAAGTAGCATACCAGATTGTAGGTAGACCCTGTGGTGGTTAGAAATAAGTATGATGGTCTGGTGTAGATATCACTGAACTATGATAAAAGTTTGGGCTTTACTTCTATTTCTCTCCCCACCTCATAAGCCTGATCTCCAGGTGGAGATGACTGGTGTGAGCACACTTATAGATAAGTCAAGAGAAGCTACAGATTCATTTTGAGAACTTGGAAAAGCTTAGGCTTTTTCTAAGACAAAATGCTCATAGTTCTTGAGGCCCAGTGGTCCCGTGAAGTTCAATGGATGAGAATTTAAAAGCTTTTAGGTGAGTCAGGCAGTGGTGGCACATGCCTTTAATCCCAGCACTTGGGAGGCAGAGCCAGGTGGATCTCTGTGAGTTTGAGGGCAACCTGGGCTACACAGTGACTTCCAAGAAAGGCCCAAAGCTACACAGAGAAACCCTGTCTCAAAAAAAAAAAGCTTTTAGGTGGTCAAGCTATAGAGGATAGCAGTAACAGCTGACCTGAAATTCTACTCCCACACAAAACAAATTCACCTCTCTAATATGTTTTATTTCACGTTACATTTTTTTCAAATAGAGTAACATTGAGGTGTTGCTGGATGTTTGTACAGTTTGAACATGTGTCACTGTGATTGGTTTAATAAACAGTTGAATGGCCAATACCTAGGCAAGAGAAGAAAGACAGGACTTCCAGGCAGAGAGAGGAACTCAGAGGGTTAGAATCTAGGTGTGAGAGGCACCAGTGAGATGTGGAACAAGCCAGGCATCCAGAATGGGGGGGGGAGATAAAAGTCACATTGTAGAATGTAGATTGATATAAAAAAAA